ATCAATGTGCAATAATTCATACTAATTCAACTGGATAGTCCCACTCAATAGTCACTCAATAATCAATGCAGTCAGTAGCCTGATACCACTATTTATACACCTGGTGGAAAACATATATTCATAAGTCCAGAGTGTCATGCACAAACCTTTGTGTTGGTAGTTAATCATTTTCTTCCTATATGACATGATGCTGGACAATTTCCTCACAGATGAAGAGAAAACTTGAAGCAACAGAGATGTAGTTCTACAGTACAGAAAGATACAGAGAATACCATGGATAGAGCATGTGAGCAACAAGGATCACTAACTGCCTGACTAATTTTTCCTCTTGAGTTGGCTGCTCAAATAAATAACCACTTTTTATTTGTCTTGTCAAACCTAATTTTGTTTTTTTCCTTATATCCTTAACCAATTTCACCTTCACTGAACAGCCAATAGTTTTGTGTCTTTCACCAATTGGTTAGTCTTTCAACCATATCCTGTTATACAGGATCTCTTCATTATATAATACTGACCAACATAAAAAACAAAGTTTATTATTCTTATTGCTAAATCATTGTCTTTTATTTCCTTTCACTCTTATTGGCTGCTATTTTAGTATATGTGCATGTGCGCACATTTGGGATTAATTTTAATGAAGTATTATCAAACATCTGTACACTCATTGTAACAAACAGTTATTCTTTGCAATGTATATATGGCATTGTCAATAAGATGTTTAAATTGCTTGGTGAACCAGAATTTGTCGAGACTTGGATCTGCTGTTTTGCAGCCCAGGCTAGGGCTAAAAAATTGAAAGACAACAAGGTAAAAGAGGGAGAAATTGAAATAACTGATCTCTTACAAGCTTTGGCAGGTTGTAAAGCTATAATAAAAATTTGTTATGGTATGCCCTAAACAATTGGAGAATTTGACTTTCACTGATATTTCAGAAGCTATAAAAAGAAGTTGAATACTGATCACGTGTTGTAGAACAACACAATAATACAACAGTATGTATAAATTTGTTACTCTAGATATTTACTAAGCTTGTGGATTAAACCTTCTGTGCTTCATTTTGGTGTTATAATAATTGTGAATTCAATCCTGAGGCTTGTTTAGGTCTGGTAGTAACTGAGAAGTACTAAAAAGAAAAAAGAAAAGATATTCTTAGACCTGGACAGTGAAAGAAGAACAAGTTATTTGGTTAATTAAGTAAAGTGTTTAGTTCAAAATTTCCTGGAATTTACCCAGATTGACAGACACCTGGAGAAGGTCAGAGGGCACAACAGTTAAATTGTTATAATAGCAACAAATCTGAGGACATTAATGTAAATGTAAATAAGAAATCCAGAAATTCAGACAGATATATTTAATCTATGTGAATACATTGCTGGCAGTCTTTTCATCTTAGTTTTTCAATGTACATACATGAACACACTGTTGTTTTTGTGATATGGACTTGTCTATTTCAAGTTGAACCAATATACTATACTATACTTAACATCAGGAAGAGGCAGCTGAAATTTCTGGGACACTTAATAAGAAAGGATGGCTTGGAGAATCTGATACTCACAGGTCGAATAGAGGGAAAGAGAGACAAGGGAAATCAACACACAACATACCTAGTGAACTTATGCAAGTGGATGACAGAACAGGGCCTGGGGGAAGTAGCAAAGGGACAAAACTTATTGAGAGCTACAAGGGATAGGGGTTAATGTGGAGAGCCATGATCGCCTATGTCCTGAAGAAACATGGCACATAAAAAGAGGAAAGTGTGGTTTAAAAAATAAAATAAAGCTTCTCTTATGATCTCTCATCATTTTCTTAAATCTCCTTCCCCTTTTGCAACCTTTCTCATGCAAATGAACAAAAAAAATCACTGACTCCTATTTTCAGTCAAACATTATAGTTTTTCTTCCATCCCATAATTCATCTTTTTCCATAATATCTTTCTATAATTCACTACCATCAATGGTCAGGTTGTTAGGTGATTGCACTCCAGTCACCACCCCTCTCCCCCATTGCGTCATGCACTGTGTGTTTGGTAGTTTCACCTAAACCTCTTTCCATATTTGAATTCCAGCCTGCCCTTCCTCATCATTATTCAGGGATATATCTTTCAGGTGCCTCCACTTGTAGGTCTCCCTTCTCTGTCCAACCTTAGGCACCATGTTGTACCAAAATGTCACTTTGTCAGGTGATATCCTTCCTCTTTTGGTTATTGCCAGGTTCCTTTACAATTTACCTCCTTTTGATCAATTGCTTTCACAGTACCACTCTCACTCCATCTACTCACAAGCTTGGGATTAAGCAAAGTTGTTGTGCAGCCAGTATCAACAAGAGCTTAAGCTTTTCATAAGATTCAAAGGGCCCTTCAGTGAACACTTTCTTCAGTCTGGGCTTTGTCATGTTCTTGTCCAACTGATCCTCATCGTTCATTTCAAGGTAGAGGGAAAGTGCTTCTCCTTGCAGAAAAAGTGGAAGCTTGGTATCCAATTTCACCTTGTTTATCTACGTGACTATATCACCTTCTCTACTAAACAGTGGTATCATGTGTCTACCCAGTCTCACCATTCCAGACTCCATATTGCTGAAATAGCTTGTGGTTCAAAAAATAAAAAAAATAGCTTCTCTCAGGATCTCTCTCTCATCCTTCTCTTAAATCTCCTCCTTCCTCTTTCCCAACCTTTCTTGTACAAAATGAACAACAAAAAAATCACTGACTCTGATTTTTGGTTGAGCTTTATAGCTTTTCTTCCTTCCCATAATTCATCTCTTTCCACAATATTTTTCTATAAAAGAAATCACTGCCTGTCACATTCTATTTTCTCTTCTCCCTTCATTCACACTACATATAATAAAGTGGACTCTTCTAATGATGGTGTTTATAAATTGTAGTGATAGTGGGTTGAAACTTCTCAAATGTAGATATATAAATAAAGGCTTGTAACACTATGTGTCTTCCATTGCAAAATACAAAATTATAACATACATGTAATGTACTTGTCATATCATGTTCGTTAGCAAAATATTATCACAGATTCTTGTTTGTGTTAAGTGCTTAATTCTTATTGAGTTGACTATGATTTTAGTACATTTAGTACAATACCAGACTAGGATATATTGACTAAATATTTCCGTAAACATACATAAACCCATATGTAGTTGTGTATTTGGGTAGCAATCCCTCTTTAATACATGTTTCAAGACTGATAAGGTATTTTTGTTTATTTTTTTGTTTTTCTTATATGTGTACAAGTGTCATTTTTTCTGGACTTAATATATGAATTATTGTATAATTTTCTTCCTGTAATGCCAGTTATTCTTTGTTCCTGTTTGACCAGTTTAAAGTTCCATATACCAAAATAACATAATAATCAACAGATATCTCATATCAACTAAAAAAAATGGACACCTGATGATGGCCAAAGGATATTTAGTTGAAATATTGTGTCTATAATAAGTACTACTTATAACTTTTACCTACAGTGGAGAAAAAATCTGCTTTGTCAGTCATGTATCAAAAGATACATGATTGCCTAAGCGTGTATCATGCATGGCACATAACTAAACTGAATAACTTCTTTAACAATGAAGATGAGAACAATAGTTTGAAATAAAGCATATTGTCAACAAAAGACCTTCACAGGCTGAAAAGAAAATTAAGTCATCTTAATGTTGGGAAGAAAAAACTTTTGCTACTTTGATTTTGTTTTGAAATTATGTTTACAAAATATGTAAAAGTTCAGATAGAGTATATTTGTAAAAGGATAATATTAATAAAGATAAAAGGAAGACTTATCCTAGCCAATGTGTTTCATCCTCTGAGGGACTTTATCAAGGATTTTAGTTTGTAACAAGTATTTATATACAAGAGCATAAATATTATTGGCTTCTCAAAATTTTTAAAGTTAAGAAGGCTCATAAATATTCACCAGTTTAGCTGAAAAGTCTAGGCAAGCTATGCTAAGTGACACAATTGAATGACTAATAGATATTTATAAGTATTTAATTTGGTATTTATTAATACTTCAATCTATTTTACCAAAGGATCCCTTCTATTAATCCATTAACTGTTGTGAATTACAGGAATTTCTGTCATTGCATATTGCTCAGCTGTGAATGACAAATTTCCATAACAGTTAATTGGTTTATATCTCTTCAGAGAATTAAAAAAATAAAGTACACGGTAAATCAGTTCTCTTTTGTATATTTGCATTTTACATACTTGTTGGTAGAATGATTATTCTTCTATGTGCTGTGTCCCTTCAGGATGTGGGTGATCATGGCTCTCCATAATTTCCTGTCTTTTATATTGACAATTACTCATTTAAAAAATGAACTATTAGTTATAAATTTCAGTTGCTTTAACTTGGCATAAGAGGTTGTGTGGGGTTACTTTTTATGACAGGAACTATTTTATTGTCATAAACAGCTTTAATATACATATGTGCATAGTTGTTATTGGTGCGAAATATAGGTTTGGTGTATTGAGTTCAAATACCAGCCATGGTCATTGCATTTGCACAAATACCCTTGGAAATGTATAAATCTAACTCTTTTATCCTCAATTCAGGAATAACAGCATTCAGAATAGCCTCTTTAGTTTTGGTTGGCAGCCAGTCTAGGAGGAGAACAAGTGGCTAGTAAAAACTTACTGTTTATAGAAACCATAACAGGAAGTCCTAGCATGTTGAAGCTGTGACCTTATGCTCTACAGTCTTTGATGTAAATTCTTACCTCATCCTTTTCAGATAGTATATATTGATTGATTTGTTTTCTATGGCTTATCAACCCTTTGCAGGTTATTTAAAGTCAGAAAATATTTTTAGATTGTAAAAATATTTTTTTAGTGATACAAGTCTCCCTAATTAACCTATAGGTGGGGGAGAAGTGAATTCATACCTTTCTTGAAGGTATTTGCGCATAAGTGAATATAATGAAACAAATTGGAATTGGAACTCGGCTCTGATTAACAGTTCTATGCCATTATCCATTATACCACCTGCACATTCAAGCTTGCAGCACCTGATTTTCTGAAGTAATCACCCATCTCAGTACTGACCTGGCTCAATGTTGCTTAACTTTGGTGGTTGTAGTGGAACCACTGTTTCAACGTGATATGGCTGTAAGCTGTAGTATATAATAATACTCAATAATATTGTTTGCATTGTCAAATATAAAAATATTGCAGAAATATTTCTATAAGGAGGATGCAGTAAAAAACAACAAGAAGAAAAGCTTCATGCATATATTTGATTTTCTGCACTTCTAACAAAGATTTTTTGTAAAAAAAGATGCGCATAATTTTTTTTTTTTAACCTGATGCTTCTTGATGAGTTGCAGATCAAGTTGTCTCCATAAATATTGCAAATGTCAACAGCAAAAATAAATCCAGCATAAACATTGACATTCTACGAGTGAAAAATGAAATCTATATAAATGTTCCAGACATATCAATAATTACAAGATGGACCTTCTCTGAGTTGGTTTGGTGGATGATAAATTTCCAAAGATTAGAATGGCAGCTTCTTAGAGTCAAATTAAGTTATTAAAGCCAGTTTTTTGTGCTTTGTCAGAGCAGAGAAAGAATAAATTGGATTTTTCAAATTGAATCTTTTACAGTAGTAACCTCAAATTTCTTTTTTTTTTTTGTGTACATTCTCATATTGTTTTAGGACATTTGCAAAATTCCGAGTTATAATTTTTATAATATTTTGTACTTGTGTGGTCAAATAATTATTAAAAATAGAAGAATTAACAGTGCAGACTGGGCTCTCTATCCTTGAATGGTAACCAGTCTAGGTGAAGTAAATTTCTAAATTTCAAACTGTAAAGGCAATTAGAATCCATTTCACTATCTTTCCCAAGAATGCATGACTCTTTACAAAAAAAATCTGTGCTGTGTCATAATCACTTATATTCTGAAGGGACATGACATTGAAAAAAAAGATAGTCTAGGGAAGGGCACCATTACATAGTGGATATTGATGTAGAAAGAAGGATCAGCATGCCAAGTTCAAATTCTGGACACTTTTGTTGTGTTCGCTATCACACAAATAGATGTGGGAAAGGTATGAATCCATTTCTTCTTCAGCTATTGGTTATAACAGGATAAACTGAACTCTATAGTTTTGGTTGGCAACCAATCTAAGATAGAAAACTCTGAATTTAAAACTGTGTAGAAGACAGAAACCATTCCACTATCTTTCCAAAGAACACATGGTAATATACAGATAATAAAGAAAAGGAATTTATGGAGAACCAAGATCAGCCATGTCCTAAAGGGACATGACCTTTTAAAAATTATAATCTTTAATTATTAATAATGAAATTATAATTATTATATAACATTTATGGATGAAGCTTAAATAAAAGTGAAACATGTTAAATTGATAAAAGTTTCCTATTTGTTTTTTTAGCTTATTATTCTCTCAGATTCTGATCCATATTTGATCTGTATTAGGGTCCCAACCATGGATAAATAGTTAACCCCCAAACTGGGGTCAAAACACTGTGAAAGGTTTTAATACCAGAAATAATTTGTTAAAAAAAAAAAAAAATTATCACCAGTAATACATTTTTGAGAAAAAAAAATACAGAAATACTTTGAAAAGATTATTACCAGCAATAAATTTTTGAAGAAGAAATTATTGCCAGCAATACATTTTTTTAAAAAATATTACTAGTGATACATATTTGAAGAAAAAAATATTACCAGAAATAAATAACCCTTTGAGATTGATATGCTGTAAAACAAACTAAACCAATTTAAAAATTCTCATCCTTCAACCAAATATTCATAATGATTTGAAGCAAGGTTTTACAAGGCTGGATGCTCTTCCTGACACCCAACTCAGACACTCACAGTAGTTGAAGTACAAGTGTTTTTATCAAGACACCATCTCTAGGAAGGTTACCATTGAAAGCTTGAAACCCATTGCATCCTAGCCTTTTATATATATATATCTCCATTGGCTCCTATATGAAACTCATCTGACTTTGACAGTTCTTGTTTTTCATCCTTTGGGTTGACATGCCACTCTCCCCATCAGCAGAAACCTAGTGGGGTAGCTGGTTTAATGCCAACACTATAAATATTAACACTATAAATTTTTGATTGTAATTCCTTTGACTGTCACAGACATTTTGCCCAAGTATGACCTGCAGTTGTACAAAGCAGAGATATTTAGCTCATCAGTTTATTTTCCACAAACAACATTCTAGCTTAACTCCACTCAAGAGAGAAATGAGCAAAAAATAATAATAGTGATAGTTAGAATTTTATTATTATGTGTTCTAATTAGATACTCTCTTTGCAAACTTTAGGAACTCATGGCAGACAGTAATGGATAGATTCTCTTCTCAGTTGACTATTAGGTAATCTGAAACCAAACAGAGGAATTTTGCAGAGTACTTAGCTCAGCATTCCTTTAAGTAGACATATTGATATTTAAGATTGCTTATTTCTGTTCCTTTGTTACTTTTATTGATCAATTGATTTTCTCTCTTCTAACAGCTGGGGTTTTATTTGGCTGTCATGGAAACAAAGACTTAATCTCTTAATATTTAACATTGATAAAAGACCTTTTGATTACAACTTTTCTCACCCTGTATCTTCATCTGGAAATATAATGGCAGTTCATATGTTTCATTTTATGTACTCTCTTGTTTACACTGTGTCAAATAAGTAAAACTATCTTTCTGTTACCATGGATACTGTCATGTGTTAGATTTGATTGTTTTTTATGGCTTAACAACTCTTTGTGGATTATTTAAAATAACACATTTTGGATTGCAAGAATAATTTATTTATGAGTGAAGAATAACAATGAGTTTTCTAGATACAAGTCTTATTATTTAACCTATCTTTTCTGAGGATATTTGTGTGTAAGTTACTGTAACAAACCCAATTGGAATTCAAACTTGGCTTTCCAATTTCTCATTCTGAGCTATTGTTCCCACCACCTACACATCCAGCAAGTTTTAGATACATGTTGGTGAAAGAGAAATGTTTATTCCCACTTATAGGTTAAGTAGCCGAGTAGACTGAACTCTCTAGCTTTGGTTGGCACCCAGTCTAAAAGAAAATGCTGAATTAATAAAAACATTCATAAAAGTATTATTTAAATTTGTTATTAACTGCCATTGATATTTGCAGCCAGTTTTTCACTGACTTTGGTAAGTATTTGATAAGGTATAGTAGAAATTCTCAGCTGTAGGTTAAATAGTAGAGTAGACTGGGATCTCTAGCCTTGGGTGGCAGTCAGTCTTGGTGAATAAAGAGCAGTGATTCAATTTCTCTGGTTGGCAGGTGTGCCAGCAGCTGAAATTCATTGGTGTGTTTTTTAACCCAATATGGTAACAGTGCACTACCATGTAGAAGTTTGTATGAATGGATCAAGAAGTTTAAAAGTAGCCGGAAAAGCATGATGTATGAAGAAGGAGCAAGGCACCAGTCAACCTCTGTTACTGATGAGAAGATTTATCAAGTTCAAGAGACGGTAATGGTGAACTGGTGAGTTATCTTTGATTAGGTAGCAGATTCTGATCACTGCTCTTTGTTCCTTAGTGTACACTGCTAGCGGAGCGGCCATGTTATACTGTAACTGCAGCAAGAAAACTGGTGCAATCAAGCTCAAACTTCAGTCACGTGACCACAGTTGTACCAACTATAAGCACAAATCAATGGAAGGTAGTATGACAAATCTAAAAATCTATTATGGTGAAAATGCAGATCATTTTTGACTTAACCTCCTATTTATTACTTTAAGCATTATTATAGTGGATATTTGTATTTGAAATAGATGTCCCACTTTTATTTTTACTTCAAACAGTGTGTAATATGTCTATTGGCCTGCTATGCACACTGCACTTGCACTCCACTCCAGAAATCTCAATAATGAAAATGTGTTCTGTTGTGTTCTCATTTGTAGGAGAAACCACCATTTGTTTTGATATGGCATGCTTTACTGCTCACCTGTGGAGAGTGTCACAGTATAGCAAGGATCTATTTTTTTATTGAGATTTCTTGAGTACATAGGCACACAGACAGATGCAATAAACAATGTATAAATTAAAAATAAAGATGAATAATCTGTTAAAATACGAGTATCCCCTGTATTAATGTTTGTTTGAAGTAATAAAAATGTCAGATTAAAATAAATCCATTAATTCTTTGTGTGTGTGACATCCATCAGTCTCAAGAGAGTTAGGCATCAGCTGCTGATGGTGGTGCAGGCCCACACAGGAGTGACAGTCTTAATTTTTCAAGGAATGCATGTGAAGATGCTCTCCCCACCGATGTCACTTTGTTTTCTTTTCATCGAGCAAACTTCTCCCCAGCAGCAAGACATCATTTCTCCTTTCTTCACTTTAGCCCCTGTATAAATTGCATCTTCAGCATGAGTGATTGTTGCTGATGTTTTCCCACCTCTCAATGTTCAGAATCTTCCCATCCAACCTATGGCGCTTCTAGAGAAGTGCATATAGGACTTATATATATATATATATATATATATATATATATATATGAAATGGACAAAGTCCGACAATTATTTTAAGACGTTTTTATGTTTAACATTCTTTTTATAGATAAAAATATTTAAGTAAATGCTCTGTTTTTAATAAACAGTATTAAATAACATTTACCGGCCTGAATGTTCAAGAAATTTTCATAGAAAATATTCGTCCTTCGACAGGATTCGAACCTGTATCCTATATGGAACCGTCATATAGCCTGACGTGCTTTTACTGATTTCGCCACAGAGGATCGATCAGTTAGCAAGGTTGAATTTACTGCTTTTAAACTTCAATCATCCATGAATCTCTCACGTACATTCATGTCTGCTCATGGCATATCAAATGTAAACAAATGACGGTAAATGTTATTTAATACTGTTTATTATAAACAGAGCATTTACTTAAATATTTGTATCTATAAAAAGAATGTTAAACATAAAAATATCTTAAAATATATATGTATATATAATGTTTTTGCTTATTATTCTTGGTTCAAAAATAAGCCATAAACCTCATATTTTTCTTTTGAGCATGATATTCTTTGCTACAATGCAATGTGTTGTTTTATATCAGGAGTAATTATTGTACACAACACAATACAAGACTTGTGGATTTCTCACTCAATAAGACTGACAGGTTAAAACTCTAGTTCCCGTATCATCACTGAAGTTAAACAATGTCAAGCCTGGTCAGTACCTAGATCAGTGACAACTTGGGAATACCAGGTGCTGTAAGCTTGGATGTATGGATGGTGTAATGAATAACAGCTTGGAATTGGAAATCAGAGAGCTGAGTTACAATTGCAGTCATTACTTGCGCACAAATACCCTTGGGAAAGGTATGAATGCATGTCTTTTCCCCCCAAACTAATCACTTAATGATTTTTTGATACAAGTCTTTCTTATTATCTCAAAAAATTTCTTAGAATTTAAAAATATTTTTTGACTTTAAATAACCTGCAAAGAGTTGACAAACCATAAAAAACAAATCCATCAATCAAATCCTCACTCAATAATATAACTGCGTATTGTTTCCGTGTGCACCCTAGTGTGTATGTGTGGCTTGGATACACTGCTTTTATTTATTTAAAAGTAATCTTTGGTTATCTGTTTTATTGATTAGGGAATAGACAGATAAATATTTATGTTCTGAGGTTTAAAGTTGGAAAGTAAAAAAAGCAAATAGATGTCAGTCACTTGTTTGGTGAGGAATTAGTGTTTTGACGTAATTAACGGAAATCTTTTTCTTCCTTATTTTCATATAAAAAATTCACTTCCACTTTTATTATAGCTTCCCTCTGTTTCTTCTACTAATATTTTCATGGTAACTGTTCTGATGAGCTACTTTTGCTGGTTCCCAGACTGCATGAATTTAAGCAAGCTACTGGGCCGGCATCTTGGTCTCACCCTTCCACTGTCGAAATGGTTAAGTGTAACCATCTCTTCTACTCAAACAGTTTCTTCTCTTGCACCTCCCATCTGTAGAACTCCCTTCCTCTTGCTTTCTTCCCTGATAACTATAATTTTCAAATATTCAAGTGTAATGTCAATTGACATCTATCAAAGGATCCCTTCTGTTAATCCATTGACTGTTATGAATTACAGGAATTTCTGTCATTGCATATTGCTCAACTGTGAATGACAAATTTTCATAACAATTAATTGGTTTATATCTCTTCAGAGAATTAAAAAAATAAAGTATACTGTAAATCAGTTCTCTTTTGTATATTTGTATTTTACATGCTTGTTGGTAGAATGATTCTTCTTCTTCTTCTATATGCTGTGTCCCTTCAAGACGTAGGTGATCATAGCTCCCTAAAATTTCCTGTCATTTGTAGCTCTTAATAAATTTTGTCTTTTTGTTATCTCTCCTAACTCTCGTTCCACCATCAATTTACTCAATGCTCATTAAGGTTATGCCTTGTTTTCCTTTAGCCCTCTTGCCCTGTGAATATCAGATTTTTCAAGCCCTCTTTCCTCATTATGTTCCCTAGAAATTTCAACTTCCTCTTTCAGATGTTAAATATAAGTGTCCTTTTTGTTTCCATTTTCTCTAAAACTTTGTTGTTGTCCATGGTATTTTCATCATCCTTCTGTAGAATCACATTTCTGTTGCATTTCTCTTCTTCATCTGTGAAGAGATTGTCCAGCATTCACTGCCATAAAGGTGGATTGATATTATGTAACAGGTCACTATTCTTTTCTTTGTTTCTAACAAAATGTTTCTTTCTTAATAATTTGCTTAGCATTTAGAAGGCCTCTTTCGTTATCCCAATATGCCTTCAGATTTCAGTGTTGCACTTTCTGTCCTCTTAAAATACTTTTCAGATATTTAAATTGTTTTACTTGTTTGATTTTGGTAGAATGATATAAACTGGTAAAAAACATCTTTAAAAAGAAACACTTTTCTGACTGGTATTTTTTTCAAAACAGCTACAAATTCGTATTGTCACAAAATACTTCTTTTAGTGTTTACTTACTTCACCTTTTTCAAGTCATGCAAAAGCTTTGTTGATTATTTTATTTTTTTGTTTTATAAGCAACAGCCAAGCACCCAGTTTTTAACCATTTTTTTTATTTTGTGACAAATTAACAGGCCAGAAAGAACACCTCATTCCCCCCTCACCACCACCACCACCACCAAAATCACTCAAGTGACTTGATTTGAATTTATTATTGCTTTAAGGAAGGCAGGTCTATCTCCCTATCTTTGCGTGGGTCTTCTTTGCTGATTCAAAACAACCATTAATTGGCTTAGCTTAAAGCCAAACATCTTGTTTTTATCAGCTTAAACTAAAAATTACAGATGATGATTTATTTTCTATTCTGCTGCTGATAAATATCTCAGGGTATTTGCAGGAGATTATTGAACATATTTTGGAAAATATTCCTTGTTTCATTTTATCTGTTTTTAATTTGCTTTTTTTGATACTATTTACATTGTTAGGACTGTTGTCTTTATTGTCATATTCACAACATTTCTGCCATCTTACACTCCAGCTTTCTTCAGGTGATATACATTGGAATTTTGAACCAAACCCTTTATTTCATCCACTGGAGTAGATTGTTCTAGTTCCACATGCCATGCCTTTTCTGGATATCTCCGTTTCAGTTATTTCCCTTTAGTAACTCAGCTCTCCAATTTTTGTTCACCTCTGTTGTGACCAGGGATCAAACTCACTTTGTGTCAAGTCACTGGATTACTTCAGCCAACACTTTTATCCACTGGGTCATGTGGACAAATAAAGGGTTTGGTCTGAAATTCCAATGTAAATCACCTGAAGAAGGCTGGACCGTATAAAGACTGAAATGCTGTGAATATGATAAAGATGATGACAACAGTTCAAACAATGTAAATAGTTACAGTACTTCATCTCAGGAAGGTGTAAACAAATATCAGAAAATGAAAATATTCACTGCTCATTATAAAACTATTCATTATTTGATTAAGTGATCGATTTTAAGAAAGAAAGTTTTCTTCACCAACAGATGTTTGTAGTCCAAAATGTTTTTGGATTTTCTGAGAAAAATGTAGTCTCTTTTGATCAGTAAAAATTTCTTGAGTCTCTAGAAAAAAATCAATGCACAATATTTTTTGTAAAATAATTTTAAATGAAAATGGTTTTAGTGTTAATGTAATTAATTTTATATTTAATTTGAATGGTGTACTCTTATATGATTAAATTATTATAGAAGTATCATGTGCATTTGTAATGTGTGTGTGTGTATATATATATATATATATATATATTAAGAAATGGACAAAGTCCGACAATTTATTTATTAAAGACATTTTTATGTTTAACGTTTTTTTTTTTTTAGATACAAGTATTTAAGTAAATGCTCTATTTATAATAAACAGTATTAAATAACATTTACCGGCCTGAATGTCCGAGAAATTTTCATAGAAAATATTCGTTCTTTGACAGGATTCGAACCTGCATCCTATATGGAACCGTTATTTACGCTGACGTGCCTTGACCGCTCGGCCACAAAGGATCATTCGGTTGGCAAGGTTTATAAGCAGTAAATTCAACCTTGCCAACCGAACAAAAAAAAAAAAAAAAAAAAATGTTAAACATAAAAATGTCTTTAATAAATATATATAAATATATATATATATATATATATATATATATATATAATGCAGGTTTGGTTGATGACCCATGAATGTTGTTCGTTTTAGATTTTTTAGTTTATGTTCAGAATTTCCTTGGAAAGCAGAAAAATGGTTTAAACAGAAAAGAAATTAAGTAAAAAATTTTAAGCGAAGAATTTTTTGTTGGTTTTCAACCAAACATACACAAATTAAAAATTACTACCAATAGACCCATATATATATATATATATATATATAGAGAGAGAGAGAGAGAGAGAGGCTTACAGCCATATCATGTTGAAATTGTGACTATTTTATGATTACTGAAGTTAAGCAATGTCAAGCTTGGTCAGAATCTAGATAGGTAACTTCTTGGGAATACCAGGTGTTGTAAGCTTGTATGTGTAGATGGTGTTATGGATAACAAGTCAGAACTGGAGATCAGAAAGCTGAGTTCCAATTTCAGGTGGGTTTGTTATATTCACCTATGTGCAAATACCCTTGAGAAAGGTAAGAATAAACCTCTTCCTCCATCTATGGGTTAATTAGTAAGACTTATGTCACTAAACCATTATGATCTTCCAAAAAATTCTTACACTCTAAAAATATTTTCTGGCTTTCAGTAACCTGCAAAGAGTTGATAAACTGTAGAAAATAATCAGTCAAAAATTCATTAAAAAATAATGAAATAATTTATAAGCAACTTTCTTGTTATGCAGTGAAAAAATAAATACTGTTTCTCAGTGTACTTTACAAATTCTATCATGTGAAGCTCTGAAAATTTTAAACTTCACAAAGACTTTATAATGGCTATACATTTGTCCTTTTACTACCACTGTAACATAGCTTCCTTGTACTTTTTCTATAAATATTTTTATGGCAATTATTTTGATCAACTTTTCTTTTGGCCTTGTGCCACATTTTTGTATTGAAACAAATTAAATATTACTTTCCGCTATGGTACCTAGACTTTATAAATTTATGTGCAGTATCAGATTGGTGGCAAAGTTTCATCAATTTACAGTTGAAATGGCTAAATGTAACCATAAGTTCTATGTTAACAGTTTCTTCTCTCACCCTTCTCATTTGTGGTATTCTCTTCTTGCTTCTTGCTTCCCAGTCAACTTTGACATTCAAACATTTAAATGTGATGTCAGTTGTCTGTTTTCTTAATTCTTATTCTTTTGTTGTCCTCTCTCCTTAATAGTTTTTCTTATATTCTCTAACACTCTGTAATCTCTTGTGTCTTAGTGACTTTATTGCCTTGCTTGGGGTGAAATGATTAAAAAAAAACAGACAGGGTAGGAATAAGGTAACTACCAAAATTGAAATAAAAATAGAGGAAAAGTAATATGGGATAATGCTTTTATTAACAAATCATTCAATAAGGAAAACATATTTAGGGGCAGTGAGCCACCTACAGAAACAATTGATAATTGTCATTCAAGTTCAATTGGATAGAGGTGAAGTTGTAAATAACTACTTATGTAGTATGTATATTTCACATTATCAGCCACTTTGATTTAATGATATATAAATAAATACTTATTATAATTTAAATGGTTATTTGATAAATGATTGCAACATCTATCTGTGCAGTTACATTCATTCTGTGTTGATCTAAACCAGTGGCTCTT